AGACGAAGGCTACAACGTGTGACGCAGTCTCGATCCGATGTCGGTTATCAATCCTTATGCAGAAGATGTTCGTGGTGAAAACCTGGAGATTAAGTTTTCAGCATTCTTGTTTGATCAATACTAAGAAATCTAGTTCTAGTACTATTAGTCGCTTTTTCAGCAGCAATATAGAGGAGAGCTTGAAGTATCAATAATATGGCACGAAACAGGCGATAAAACAACCCACTTCGTCGGCCGTAAATAACATCTTGCCCGATATACTTTTCACCACGAACATGTTCTGCATAAGGATTGACAACCGACATCGGATCGAGACTGCGTCACACGTTGTAGCCTTCGTCTGAATACGCGGCGAGCAGTGTAAATGTTATTTTGAGAATAAGAGAAAAGGCAACCACGTGAGAAGGACTCATTAAAGAAAGAATATTAATCCGTAGATAGGCAAACAAATTTTACCTTCGCAAGATGCGCATGAAGGTAATTAAGCCATACGACGCGTCCATGCGTACGTAATCGTACTTTAGTACGCGTACTTACTCGTGCTTTCTATCCGTAGGAATATCGTTGAGAAGAACCTGTACTAAGAGCCGCTAGTGGGCTCAACAAAAAAATCTTTGTAATTCACAAATAGAGAAAAACGGTTGACGATAAAGTAACGATATTTTATCAGGAAAATATACACATTTCTGTTAGCGTAATATAACTACTGATTTTTTTGAAAACGAATATCATTAAATCGGATTAAAGAAAGTGCACATACACTTTTTTGTTGATGATGTTCGATGTGGTCTCATCGGAAACAATTTTTACGAGAAGAGGCATATAATAGGACTACGCACTCGAATACGAGTAAGTACGCGTACTAGAGTACGATTACGTACGCATACTCATTCAGTTCTGCGTAGAAAGAAAAAAATAAAGCAAAATGATTTGATTACCTGCTATATATGGACATGTTGTTTCTCTCATCACCCACAAATAGTTTTCGTATATATAGAGTCACTCTATAATCATGAATAAACAAGCCATATTCTTCTGAGGGTGTTTCAACTATGTTCTTTCCTTTTAATAAATATTCAGAATTTTATTCTTCTTTTAATCATTATTTTCTAGATCATCACTACGTTCATACTCACTTCGAACTACGTAATGGCACAAAATAATGATCGTATTATTCATTCTCCAATCGAACTCAAAGGCTTCTCAAAATATTTATCCTTAATATTTCATCAATTAACTAAAGATGCTATATGGACATTTTGTGAATTACGTATTGCCGATCTTATGACTGATTACAAACTACCCATCACTGCATTAGAATTAAGTCAATTAAATGGCAATAATTGGAATGCTGAATTTCTCTATCGACTATTACGTGTCAATGCCGATGCTGGTATCATCACTCAAGTAACGACTGGTGATGAAAATTCAGCTCAACCAGAACAAATAATTCGATTTCAATTGACAGAAGATGGATTATTATTGACAAGTAATCATTTTTCAAAAGCTCGCGATATGATTCGACTAGTTTTAAGTCCAAATATGGAAAAAACTTGGTCATATTTTCCATCATTAATTAAGTTTGGTTACAAACATGGGAATTGTTTCGAACAGGCATTCGGTTGTAGTACATTTGAATATATGAAAAAAGAAGAAAACAAAGAATATGCAAATGCATTCAATAATGGAATGCTTGCTTATTCAAATTATACGGCATCATCGATAGTGTCAGCAATTGATTTCAGTCATTTCAGTATCTTAGTTGATATCGGTGGCGGTTTAGGAACATTACTATCATCGATTATGGAAAAATATCAGAATTTACATGGAATATTATTTGATTTGGATCATGTTATTCAACATGCCAAAACAATCAGTCCAAATGAATTCCAACGAAAACAAATCGAACCAAATCGTTATACATTCGTTGGTGGCGATATGTTTAAATCAGAAACAATACCTCCAGCTGATGCTTACATATTAAAATCTCTTATTCATGATTGGGATGATGAAAAATCGATTGAAATACTAAAATCTATACGTAATGCAAATAGAACTCAAACAGAAAAGCCAATAACAGTATTTATAGTTGAAGCAGTAATTATGTCCGAAAATAAAGATAATTGGGAAGCACATGTAATGGATCTGCACATGTTATCAAATTTAGGTGCTAAGGAGAGAGGCTTATCTGGATATACTGATCTTTTAAACAAAAGTGGTTATGAATTGAAACATTTATATAAGACGGAGGGTCTTACTTCCGTTATTGAAGCAAGGACAGCAACAACTCAAATATAAAGTTGACCGAAGAATAAACTCTAAGCGTAAACGCGAACTTATTGTAGAGTGCTCGATAATTTTATGACTATAATATTCTTTTAAATTGAAATAAATGTTTAGAATTTAACTAACAAATACAATATTTTTCATCTAATAAGTACCTTAGAAATTGGTATGGTCGGTGAGGATGAGGATGAGTATTAAATATTGTCCTTCGGTTCCTTTGGTTAGATTTGTAATTTGCAGTACTACTTCATCTAAATTGCAAAAAAAATGGAAGAGATAAAACGTTCTTCTTCATACTACATGTTTAATTCGAAAAATTCTTGCCGTCGTCACATGTCGACGTTGCTTCGGTTTGGTAATCTGCAGCGATATGATCATCATCTTCATCATGTAATTTTCCAATTACTCCTTGAAAGACAAAAGTAACTCTTTTTTCTACAAGTTCTATACAATTCCGCACCACGTTGGAGCTTTATTTCAATCATTTTATTTTTCTGTTCGTTAACATATTCCGATATCACCGTACCCTTTCCGTGTTGATTGTAATATTCAACTTCGGTTCTTTTTAACATTTGTTCTTTATAGTGGCAGTTCGAACTGCCTTCTAAAGAGACACAACTGCAGTTTAGTCCACCCTGTGTGAAATGCTACTCAACGCAAACAGCTGTAAGGATCCACCTCGACCGTCTAGTGGATTAAATAGAACTACACTGAGACTTCGTGACGCTGATCATGACAGATATACAGTATCCATCACCTGAGTGACAGTTCACCAATGCCGTTCTTGTTCACTGCTGTTTGTGGCATTAGCTATTTATTGCACTCCCTTCAAACCAGAGAATTAGAGACCTGCACGGGTTAAGAAAACCTAACCCGAACCCGATCCGATTGCCAAAATGCCGACCCGCACCCGACCCGACCCGACAACAACTTAACCCGAACCCGAACCGACCCGAACCTGACCCGACCCGATGAAAACAATCTCACCAGAAAACTGTGTTTGAAAAAGAATATAGACCTTTTCGGTGCATATTGTAGAATCTCGTAGTTCAAAAAGAAATTTTTGAACGACTTCTGATTGGTCATTTTGTCGAAAAGATTAATCTATTGAAAATTCCTCAGTACACTTTGTCAATAGATTATCTTAACCGAGATGATAACCACATTCTTTTTCTCATTGGTCAGTCAGTATCACCTGATACTAAGATAGCAAGTAGAGAGCATTATAGTAAAGTCTTCTATGTACGGGTGTTTAAAACAGTACATTGAAAAAAAGCAGTAAGGGATGTATTGCCATTAATTTCAGTGCAGGAAGCACTCTCTTATGTGCAAAGAAAGCAATCATTAATCGACTTAGTGAATGCAGTTGTTCTGAAACAAGTCTTTCAACTGGAAATTCCAGTAGAGATAACTTTCAACCAGTAATACAAAGCTAAAAATATTATTTATATTTTAAATTGCGTCGCCAAATATTCAACCCGAACCCGAACCGACCCTAGGGTCGGATCGGGTTCGGGTCGGGTTGCAGGTCTCTACAGAGAATGTCCTGGAAAGTTTCATTACGCTAGCTACAATCGAGATCAAATGCGCACAGAGCAGTCAGGCATATAATGTTGCTCACACAGGCCGGCGTTCGCCTCTTTATCTCGCACACACGTTTGATGAGGCCAAGTAGCAATAGGAGAAGGCCAGTCTCCAATTCACAGTAAGCTTTATCACTTCGTGAAGATTTGGGAAAAGTCGCCGTGTCGGATGACCTGTGTGAAGTTGCACCGAGGTCTCCATTTCCCGTTGACGACGATCATTCCGACCCTCTTTCAACTTTCTTTTGAACATAAGCAACTGATGTGGAAAATTCGGTGACGATAGCTATCGCAGGGACCGAATGTATAGCGTACAGATAGACAAACATTCTACTTCGTATAGATAGATAGATAGGGAAAATATCCATTTACATATTCTTTTCTATGGTACACACCATTGGTTTGAGGATACCCGATCCGATTCCGAAGCAAATAGATCTCAGATTCGAGCTCAGCACCATCGTAAACTAAATTCTCATATCATGGAGTGGGTGTGTCTAAGCGAGCCAGTTTATGCACGGCGGGAAAGATTCTGTTGAAGGTGAAAAAGTTCAAGGCAACACACTCCCCATCGGGTACCTCCGCTAGTACTATTTAAAACCAGATGTCGTTAACAAACCAGTGATGTTTATTTTCTTCATTCTTTCTCATTTATGCATCTTCTCGTTATCGTCCTCAGCAACGTCGACATGTGACGACGGCAAGAATTTTTCGAATTAAACATGTAGTATGAAGAAGAACGTTTTATCTCTTCCATTTTTTTTGCAATTTAGATGAAGTAGTACTGCAAATTACAAATCTAAC